CTTTATTGCTAGAGAACTGTATATGTATATATAAATATAGATGAATGTGTCCTTACCATGTGATCCACTTTTATCCAAAAAGTTGCTGAGATTGAATAGTGTATTTCTAGATGCCAAATACTGAATAAATCTCTGCAAGACAGAAAAACAGTGAAAGTTCTACCCCTTTCCAATAGCTTCCTTATACTTCACATCTGGCTCTGCACAAAACAGGTGGAACAAGCCTCACCCAAGTTACACTCAGAACTGTATACACATATTGGAAGATTCAATCCAATAAAGATGGGTGCAAGGCACGACTCTGGATCCAGAATAATACTTTAAAAAAAGGAAAAAAAGGGAGTTTAAAATGTAGGGGGTCGATTTAAACCTCAGATTTGTGCCTTTATAACAAATTTCTATTAGGGGTGCACCGACAGAGATTTTTTGGGCCGATACCGATGGCCAATTTTTAACGAGCCATATTGTCCAATACTGATCCTGTAGGGCACTGGCATAGCCCAGGGGGGTGAAGGACTGTGGGTGGAGAGTGAGGGGCACTAGCAGGGCCAGGGGGCTGTGGGTTGGGAATGGGCTGTCCCCCTGACATGTGTCTTCTTCTTTGGAACCAAAGGTTGTAGGGCCAGCCACCTTTTTCATGGGTTTATGGCACACCCTCACGCCTCTAATTGGCTGAAGGTCCCCAGTGACCATGCCCCCTCACTGCTGATTAGTCAAACGGGCTGTCCATCATGTGGCCCTGCTCTTTGCCACTGAGAGGCTGAAAAGGCCATCTGTCATGTGGCCCTGCCCCTCACTACTGATGGGTGGAGCCACATGACAGGTAGCCTTCTTAGGCAATCAGCAGCAAGGTGTGGGAGCCCAGCCATCTCGCTTCCTCTTCTTTGTGCACACTCCTTACTAAGGAGTGGAGCCAGCAATTTTTTCCCCCCCCTGAAGATTTCAGAGATCACCCGATTTTGTAATTTCCACAAAAATCATGATTTGAATAGGTCCTTGTATACAGGATTAGATAGAGTATAAGTTAGTGACTACCTATCCCAGTAGGTTATTTACCAGCCTACTAACAGTTAAGTGATTAAGCCCTGCTACAAAACTGTATTAGTCCCTCTCAAGCTGCAAATTTGGTATAAAACCTTGGAGTGAGGACTATAGATGAAGTGAAACATTTATCCTCATGAACTAGTGAGAAAGCAAGCAATTCAGAGGAGTATCATTAAGTTTTAAAGAGTCAGGTTGGCCATGAATCTTTGGTGTAAAAGTGATTTCATCGAAAAGATTCAATACGCTTACCTCATTGCCATGGACCATTAAATGATGTGTTGTGACTAAGGCTTTGAACACAACCACCCAGCTACTATTTGTTGCTCTCTCAAAGAGGGTATCGGCCATTTGGGGAATATTAACATTGGTCTCATTGGTAGCTTGGATCAAATCTATTCAAAAGAAGAGAAAAAAAGAAAGCATTAGCATAACTACAGATTAAAAAAACCAAACAAACCCTAAAGCATTCAGCCGGCTTCCACTGACCAGGCAATAACTTCTATTTACCATACAGTTGATTCAAGTTATATTTGGATATTATCATTAGGCTACAGTACTAGTTCCTGATAAGAGTCTAATAGCATTTACTATACTGCACTAGAGACTGAGTCTGGGCGGAATTCCTACAATCTAACTTTAAACTGTTTAAGGAGTTGTATATTTATTTCACTTTGGAGTTAAGCAGAAGTTAGCACCCTTGAAACAAAAGACAAGAATAAAAGACATAAGACCAGCTGACTTTTCTCTTCCCCAAATTTGCTCTTAGAGAACAGTTTGAAGGACAAGAAATGCATAAGAACGCGTCTTCATGTCCCATTAGAACATGTCCCCACTGCTGCCCCCCACTCCCATTTTATTTACTTGATCTTCCATTTAGGCATAGAAATGTCTAGTTTAAAGAATCTGAGCACTCATGTGGCTCAGAAGACAGGTTGTGCTCGCTGTCTCTTTGGGCAATGTCCTTTGGGTTTATCTTTTCCATATCCACTGGAAGCATCAGCTTCCACTAGATATTAGCTGGAAATTATTAAGTCTGAATGAACTCCAACAACCAAATCTCAGAAATAGGTTTCAGAGGATGAAACCCATTGCATCTTAGAATCAAGTACATATTGTATTCAGGATACTCGGAAGCAACACTATTTGAGCCAACTGCAAAATGGGGAGCTAAGTCTTGGCATAACAGCATTTATTTGCATTCGAGTGGAATATTTAAATGGAAAACCATGGCGACTCGGATAGCCGTGTACATATGCTATTTAAATTTCATATTGGAAGGCACTGGAATGACAGATTACAAAGATGACACTGTGTTGCTGGGACCATTTTTGTACATTTTCCTCCTCCAAAAGCATACCCAAGTATCCCACTAAGTTTCAACTTATAGACATTACCAGGAAGTGTTGGGCAAACTGTCCTAGAACCAAATGTCCAGGGTAATATAATATGGAGCGGATACAACCCTGGTTACTTTTATCACTGGGTACATGTATCTGATGTCGATGTACATGTCCTATGAACTGGCCTTCACAGAAATTTGATGCAAAGATAATAAAAAGTCCTTTTTCAAATATATAGGGAGGATGAAGAAAGCACCAGGAAATGTGGGTCCCCTGCAAGATATGCTGGGCAATCTTGTGGTTGCACCAGAGGAGAAAGCAGACCTCTTTAACCAATTCTTCACCTCCATTTTCTTGTGCAGGGACCGGGACTTCCCCACCACGATGCAAGACAGACTCAAGGGGAACGCCTCCAGACCTCAGGCTGGGGAGGACCGGGTTAGAGAGCTTCTGGAGGGGCTGGACGTGTTCAAATCAGTGGGTCCAGATGCTCTCCACCCCAGGGTGTTGAGGGAGCTAGCAGGGGTTATTGCAGGGCCCTTGGCATGGCTTTACGAGCGCGCATGGTGCTCGGCCCAGGTGCCAGATGATTGGAAGGTAGCCAGCGTGGTCCCCATCTTTAAAAAAGGGAGGAGGGAGGACCCGGGCAACTATAGACCCATTAGTCTTACCTCAATCCTAGGGAAACTCTTTGAGAAGATCATCAAGGAGCACATCTGCGATGGGCCGGCTTCAGGGATGATGCT